GCCTTTTGTGTGTCCCCCGCTGCCCCCACCAGAGGTTTATTTAAGGGCGCCAATGACCAGGTGCCCCCAGCTACAGGTATGGGGGGAGCAGAGCTGTCCCCCCAGCCCCCAGGGCCCTGGTGTCACTCCTGCGCCCCCCCCTTCCCCAACACCTCAGTCTCCTCCCCTGCCCCCCCTCCTCCCCACCACTCTCGGTCGCCTTCTTTTTTTTTAAATATTTCAAAAAAAAGGAAATAAAATCTCCACGTTCCCGGGCTGGGAAGAACCTGCGTCTCCAGCAGTGTCTTACTGAGGGGCGTCAAAACTGATGTGGGGGGCCCTGCCCCAGCTGCACCCCCCCTGCCCCGGCCACTGTCCAAGTGTGGGAAGGGTTTGAACCATAGACCATGAGGGTGGGAGGGGACCTCAGGCAGCCACATCGAGTCCAACCCCCTGCTCCAAGCAGGACCAGCCCCAACTAGCTCATCCCAGCCAGGGCTTTGTCTAGCTGGGTCTTCAAAACCTCCAAGGATGGAGATGCCACAAGCTCTCTGGGGAGCCTGGTCCAGTGCTTTACTACCCTCCAAGTGAGAGCGTTTTTCTTCATATCCAACCTTGACTTTCCTTGCTGCAACTTGAGCCCATTGCTCCTTCTGTCATCTGCACCCGCTGAGAACAGTCCAGCTCCGTCCTTTCTGGACCCACCCTGCAGGGAGGTGAAGGCTGCTATTAAAGCACCCCTCAGTCTTCTCTTTTCCAGACTAAATAAACCCAGTTCCCTCAGCTTCTCCTCACCAGTCATGCCCTCCAGCCCCTGAACCATTTTCCTTGCCCTCCGTTGGACTCTCTCCAATTTGCCCATGTAGCAGGGGCCGACAACTTTCCGTTGTCGACAACTTTCCGTAGCAGGGGCCGACAACTGGACGCACGACTCCAGATGTGGCCTCCCCAGTGCTGAATAGAGGGGAAGAGTCGCTGCCCTTGATCTGCTGGCACCGCTCCTACCAGTGCAGCCCAGGATGCCCTTAGCCTTCTTGGCACCAAGGGCACACTGCTGGCTCCTATTCAGCTTCTTGTCCCCTGTCACCCCCAGGTCCTTTTGTGCAGAGTTGCTGCCCAGCCTGTCCCGGTGCATGGGATTGTTCCCACCTAAGTGCAGGATTTGCACTTGTCCTTGTTGAACCCCAGGACATTTCTTTTGGTCCAATCCTCCAATTCATCTAGGTCACTGAATCCTAGCCCTCCCCTCCAGCGTATCTACTACTCCCCAGCTTGGTGCCATCTGCAGACTTGCTGAGGGTGCACTCTGTGCCATCTTCCAGGTCGTTCATGAAGACATTGAACAAAACCGGTCCCAGAACTGACCCCTTGATACCGGCTGCCAACTAGACATCGAGCCAGTGACTAAAACCCTCTGAGCCCGATGCTCCAGTCAGCTTTCTATCCACCTTACAGTCCATTCATCTGCCCCATACCACCTTAACTTGCCTGGGAGACAGCCTCAAAAGCTTTGCTAGAATCAAGGTATGCCACAGCCACCGGGCTCCCTGCATCCACAGAGCGGGTCACCTTGCCCTAGGAGGCAATCAGGGCGGTCAGGCATGACTTGCCCTTAGTGACTCCATGCTGACTGATCCGAGTCACCTTCACCTGCAAGTGCTTAGAAATGGATTCCTTGGGGCTCTGCTCCATGATTTTTCCAGGGATAAAAGTGAGGCTGACTGGTCTGTAGTTCCCTGGATCCTCCTCCTTCCCTTTCTTAAACATGGGCACTATGTTTGCCTTTTTCCAATGAGCTGGGACCTTTCTTGATTGCAGTCACATCAGCCGACTCCCTCGGGTGCATCCCATCCGGCCCCATGGACTTGGACACATCCGGCTGCTCACCTCTGCCCAGGTTGTCCTGCCCGTTGCAGTAGTCTGACCTTGCCGGTGAAGATGGAGGTGAAGAAGGCATTGAGCACTTCAGCCTTTTCTGCATCCTCTCTCACAAGGTTGCCTCCCCCATCAGTAAGGGACACACACTTTCCCTGATCCTCCGCTTGCTACCGATGTACTTGTAGAAACCCTTCTTGTTCCCCTTCCCACCCCTTGCTGGCTGCGACTCCAATTGCACTTTGGCCTTCCTGACTTCCTCCCTGCATGCCCCGAGCAGTGCGCCTCTACTCCTCCCTGGTTTTTTGTCCCAGTTCCACTTCTTATAAGCTTCCTTTTTGTGATTTAGTTTCTTGAAGCGTTCCCTGCTAAGCCCAGCTGGTCTTCTGCCAAACTTGCTAGTCTTCCCGCGCATCGGGCTGGTTTGTTCCTGCACGCTCAGTAAGGCCTCTTTGAAGTCCAGGCAGCTCTCCTGGACGCCCCTAACCCTCTGACTGGCTTCCCAGGGGATCCTGCCCAGGAGTTCCCTGAGCAAGTCGAAGTCTGCTTTTCTGAAGTCCGGGGTCCTTCCTCTGCTGCTCTCCTCCTTTCCTGTCCTCAGGAGCCTGAACTCAAATCATCTCGTGGTCGCTGCTGCCCAAGTTGCTACATCCACTACTGCATCCCCCACCAGTTCAGCCCTTTGTGAGCAGCACGTCAAGAAGAGCACGGCCCCGCATTGGCCACTCCAGCCTCTGCACCAGGAGCTTGTCCCTAAAACCTTCCTGCATTGAGCAAGGCACCTCCCCTCACTGTGAGCCCTGGATGGAGGGGGTAGGGGCACAGAGCTTGGTTACAGCCCCTCTGCCCAGCTGTAACCACTAGGCCTTCCACCCGCAGCCAAAAACCCAGGAGTCCGTGCCCGGCTGTAACTACTAGGCCTCCCCGGAGAGTGGGGTGAATTGCCTCCTGCCCCCCCCAACTCCACATGACAGGTCACAGCACTGTGCCCCCCACCCAAGTTGGTGGGCAGGATATGGGGGGAGGCAGGAAGAGCCCTTGGGCATTAACCCTTTGTGGGGAGGTGGGGGGGGTGCAAATTGTGCTTGGGGTGGACGTGGACACGCACACATCTCACCCCCCAAAAACCAAGGGGAGGAAAGGATCCTCAACACCTTTTCCTCCCCATGCCCCCCCTCCAAAAAACCAACTCACCCACCCATGCAGTGCTCCAGGCACAGACCCCTGCTGAGCAGCACGTGCCTCCCACACCCACCCACTCCCTCCCACCAGTGCCCCCCATAACCCACAGCATGGGCTGCATCAGGCCTCAACCTGACTTGTGTTGCGTGTCGGACATGCATACCAACCCCCCTAGCAGCACTGCCGCCCTCCCTGGGTTGAGACCAAGCCCGTCAGGGGACCCCCAGACTCCTCCAACCTTCCCCCCAGTTCCCCCCCAGCACAAAGGAAAGGATGGCTGCCGCTTCAAACCATTTATTAGCGAGGAGCCATTAGTGCTGCTGCAGCAGTGGGGGGTGGGGAGAAAAGACGCCCCCCCCTTGGTGACACACAGTGGGTTCTCCCCCACCTGGGGGGCTCAGGTCCCGCTGTCCCCACGGATGGAAAGCACCTGGCAGAGCCAGGCCCGAGGGGGGACATAGGGCTGGTGGGGGGGCAGCGTGGGGAGGGATGGGGTGGTCTTCAGCCGCTCAGCACCATCCGCACCAGCTCTGCAGGGAGAAAGAGACAGGGAGGGGGTGAGAGAGGGCTCCTGGGGTGGAAGCTGGAAGCCTCTACTTGCTCCCTGACCCCAGCAGAGGTCATGGTCACGGCTAGGAACTGGACCCCGTCTCCCCTTCCACACCCAGAGGCCGTGCACACGACCCTCCCAGCCCCAGCCCCCAAGATGGGAAGAGGCAGAAATAGGGGAGCAGTCCGCTACAGCTACGGCCGGAGGCTGGTCTACAGCAGAGACAAGAGCGGGCAGGGGGACGAGCACGGCAGGGGGCAGCCGAAAGAGCCTGGCAGGACTGGGGTCCCCTCCTGGCAGCTGGGTCTGAGCCCTTGTGGGCTCATTGCACCCCAGCCCCAGGAGGAGAGGGCCCCGCTCCGGCCAGCTGGGAGAGAGTCAGCTCCATGCAGACATGCCGGGGGGCAGAGGGGGAAAAAGAGAAGTGCAAACCAGTCCTGGGGGGCAAATACCAGAAAAAAAATAGAGGGGGGAGGGGAAAAAAAAATAGAGGGGGGTGGAGGGGCGGGAGCGTACCCAGCGGCGTCACCCTGACAGGATGTGTCGCACAAAGGCTGTTGGAAGGAAGAGACATTATCATCAAGCACCGGAGCCGGGCGCCTGCTCAGGATCGGGGCCCGCCCCCCCGGGGCCCCCCCGGGCGCAGCAGGGTCTCACCTTCGTAGTTGATACAGCCGTTGCTGTCCTCGTGCCCGGCCACCAGCTGCTCCACCTCCTCCTCCGTCATCTTCTCGCCTGCGGGAGACGGGCCTCAGAAGGGCTCTCACCCCCACATCACCCCAAAACAATGCCAGCGTGGACAACCCCGGGGGCAGCCAGTGCCTCCCTGACCCTCTCAACCCCCAAACTGACTAAGCAGGGGTACTATGCCCCTTCCCTGCCCTATGCCCCTTCCTTGCTGGGCATAAAAAGATCAAAGCCAGTGGCGTTGGGGTGCCCCAGGGCAGAGGTGGCATGGGGAGCGGGGCATTTGCTGGCGGGGTGAAAGGGACCTGGCGGGGTCACATCCGCCCCAGTCATCCCAGCACCAGCCTGGCCAAGCTGCTCTGGGAAGTTTCCAGGCACGGGGAGGCCGTGGCGGCTCTAGGGGCCTGCACCAGAGTCACAGTCTTCAGCCTCAGTTTCCCCTGCTACAGCCTGAACCCACTGTTCTCAGTCCTCTGCCCTATGGCCACAGAGAAAGGCCTGTGGGACTTGAAGGCTGTGATTAACCCCCGGCTGAAACCCCGCTGGCTAAACCCCCTGCGCTCTTTGAGTCCATCCCCGTCCATCTAGTCTCTGCTCAACTGCCCCCACCCCTGCCCCGGCCTGGGGGCAAACACTGGACCCCAGAGGAGGCCTCACGGGGGTAGGCAGGGATTCTCCCCCCCTTCCTAGGTCCAAGGTTTCCCTCCCAGCTCCTGTGTCAATACTCCTGCAGGGACCAGCCCCAGAGGATCGCGGCTGCAGGGTCCTGCCCCTTCGCACGGGGCAAGACTGGGGGGGGAAACAGAAAGGGATTTTCCCCTATGCTCAGATTTGCACGGACATGGGGGGTGGGGAGGAGGCTGCCTTGGTCCCTCAAGTGCATTCAACACCCCCAGCAGCAGCAGTGCATGGCTGCCTGCACCCCCCGGGGCAAGTCCGGGGCTCTCGGGGTCTGGGGACCACGGGCCGGGTCAGCCACAGGGGCTGATCCTGCTCAACCATGTCCTGGCGGGGGGACCCAAGGGGTTTAGGCATGCGTTTGGGGCCTCACCCAGGGTGACGAGGACGTGGCGAATCTCAGCACCCATGACAGTGCCGTTGCCCTCCTTGTCGAAGACGCGCAACCCCTCCACGTAGTCCTCAAAGCAGCCCTGGTCCTTGTTCTTGGCGACCGTCTGCATCATGGGCAGGAACTGCTCGAAGCTCAGCATCTTCAGGTTCATCTCTGGCGTGGGCACAGGCGGGCGAGGGGTGAGTGTGGCCCCACCGAAACCAGACCCCGCCCACTAATGCCCCCAGACTGCAGAAGGCGCAGGGCACTCCCTCCTGCCCCCATGTCCTGTGCCCTGCACCGCAGATCGGGTAAACTGAGGTCTGAGCAGCGTGCCCGTGGGCTGGGCCCTCACCGTCACTCTTGGGGTTGCCCAGCACCTTCATGACCTCGGCGTTGGTGGGGTTCTGGCCCAGCGCCCGCATCACGTCCCCGCACTGGCTGTACAGGATCTTGCCATCCCCGGTGCGGTCGAAGAGCTGGAAAGCCTCCTTGAACTCTGCCGGGGAAGCGGGCGCAGGGGCTGGCGTCATCACCGGGCTCTGATCCTCAGAAGCAGCTCCGCGCCCCCACCCGCCTGGTGCCCACGGCATCCAGGGTGCCACGAGGACAGCAGCCGGGCGGCGCGGAGCAGGTGGGCGCCTGCCCTACTGACCCCTGGCCGTCTGCGGCCTTTTGCGCCCGCTCCTTGGAACGCGGCCGCCCGTGCCCGGGCCCGGCTCCCATTTCATTTCCTCCCAGGATCCGGTTCCCTGCGCCGGCGCGGGAGGAACCCGATACGCCAGGGAGCCGCTGGCACCTGCCCGGGATGCAGCCGGCTGCCTCCCCCCGCGGCGTCCCCGCGCCTGCCCCCCCCCGCCCCGGGCACCAGCTCTCGGGGTGTCTGGGGGGCAGCTCCGGGCAGGGCAGGATGGCGCCCAGCGCCTCCATGCCCATCTGCGTGGAGCAGAGGCCTGGCTTCTCTCCTGCCAGGGCCGCGGGGGGGAAACTGAGGCAGAGCTGGCGAGGGGCGCGCCCAGGTGCGGCCGGAG